TTTTTTTTTTTTTTTTTTTTCTGAACTATACAAATTTTTTTCTTTTGTTAATGCGTTGTCACATATATAATTAATATTGTACACTAACCTTGAATGAGTTTCAACATACTATGTGCTGAACTGACTAAACCCTAAATGAGTTTTTGCATACCATTTGTTAAAGTGACAACACACATTTGATAAGGGTAAAGACTGAAATGACTTTACCTAAATCTGATGCATGATTAAACCCCTATTGACCTCTGATGACTACACTATCTTACTATTGACTGATGTGACCTGCTTAGCACACTAAGGTTTGGACACTACTATTTAAACACCTTATTTGTGGTTGATATGACAAACACAACATTATGTCTACATCAAATTTCTCTACGAGATTTAACAATCGCAAATGTAAACGAGTTTGGTTTTTATAATAGCAAAACCATGTTTACAAGAATGAGAGATTTTTTGATCCAATAAAGTATTATGCAGGAGTACAACGAGATTGGACTTTTCGTGCTAAAGAATCAAACGAACTATTCACACAACTAAGAGAATTTGGTTTACCAGTGCCTCGTAGATGATCACTAACAATGCAACGTCAGAATAGAGAGTGCTACGAATCATCAGTAAAATAAGTTCACAAAGAGAATAATAGATTGTTGGTTCATAGGTGTCGCTATTATATACTCAAACAAGTAAAAGACATGATGAAAACTGCACATAGACGAGAGTAGACACCAGTTGAGTAAAACAATATATTGTCTAATGTAAAATACCTGTCAGATGATAATTTGCCTGATGAAGCTTAATAAAGTCTATAATTGTTAATTTGTGATATAGTAAGCCTGTGTAACTAATATAGTGTCAAGTCATGTTAGTCCTTTTTATTTGAATTGTTATGTTATTACTTTATCATAGTGAAGTCATTTCATTGCTTTATTAGTGTAGTTATTCTACTGTCAAGTCATGCCCGTCATTTTGCCATTTATAAGTTGTGTCATTACTTTATCACTGTTAATTATCCATAATTATTTTATCTGTGTCAAGTCATGTTAGTTGTACTTAGTAATTGTCCTGTCAAATTCATATATAATTGCATTTCGTGTCTATATAAACCATCCTTATTAATTGTGTACATCATAACCAAAAAAATGTCTAAGCACACATCTAATAGGCAATCCAATTAAACCACTCAAGGTTCTTCATCACACAATGAATAACAAAGTTCATCTTCAACCAACCAACATGAACGCTTGACTAGCCGAGCAGCATCATCAAGCGTAGTTCGTTCAATTGAATCCTACATAGATTTTACCGGTGTAACTTGGTATAGACAAAAACGTGAGTTCCGTAATGAGCCCATCAACCCTTATCTCTTATTCGGTAAAATTGGACACATATTTGTGGGCCCTACAACTGACTATCCGCTTCTGAGTATTTATATCGAACTCATACCAAGATGACAACAATTATATGACAAACCTTGTGGGCTTGAATTATACTGTCATTGGTATAGATTAATGGTATCAAAGACACGTTCGACTGATATATATAATCCACAAAACTCTACCAATCATAACGAGATCATAGTAAGTTTGAACCTGAAAATGATCAGATACATCGTAGATTTGATTGTTTAAATGCAATCGAGCATGCAAAAGTTGAGTATTTTGATCTTGACTATGCTGAGATTCAAATTTTACATGATCCGTCACTTGTTTCGAACACTTAACTTTTGGATTATTTTGATTTAAGTGATGATACATCTGATACATTTATTCCATTGAGTTTATGTGTGTTCGGTAACCCTTTATCTTATTTTTTACATCAACCACAATATTGACATACTATATTTTTTGCAGTCTCATGTAATGAAATTGTTTTGTTTAATGCATAATTGTCTTTTTCCATATTTTCATGTGTTTGTACACTTTTTATTAGTTAACTCTCATTGTTCGATGAACTTATATCATAAAATTAGAATAAACAATTTTTTAACATATACAAAACAAATTGCTCAAAATTTGTCACAAAATTCATGTACTACAAACAAACAATTTTAAGCATTTTTTTGTAGTAATGCACTGAATTAACTTTTTTTTTATTTATAACTTGATTTTTTAGTATCTTTCAAAGTTTATAAATTTCTATGTGAACACATGCTAATAATTTAATATTTTAGCGAACAAAACACTACTGAACAAAAAAAATTAATATCATTAAAATAACAAACTCTTACAACTGCGTTAAATAATTTAAAAATATTTTTTATATATTTATGAAAACGTCATTCAAAATGACATTTTTAAGCCAACAATTTTTTAAATGTCTGTTATATTTTGACGTTTGAATTCACTTCTTTTAACGTCATTCTTCACTGATGCCTTAAAAAATGTTATTACAAATGACGATTTATAGGAAAAAAAATTTAATTTAAAATCGTCATTCCAAATGACTTTTTAACCCTTTAAAGTATTATTCTAAATGATATTTGTAAAAAGAGACTTAGTTTGAAAAATAAATTTAAAACTGACTGAATTTGAGAATAAAATTTTGAGACCGACCGGTTTTGATCAAACCCTCCTTACACGTGTGCCCCATTTTCTTTCTAGAAAAGCGTCAACCCCTTGGCCAGGTCACAATACTTGAATTTGCCCAACATGACTGGGGGCTTCTTAGCCCAATATTGAATCTGTCTATAACAGATATGTGTATTCAGCTAAGAGATAACATTAAGTATGTCCCGCTAAAAACTGTGACAAATCTTTTTGTTCTATACTTTTATTTTTTCTCCATAGTTTCATCTTATTTCCATGTAGCAGGGTATATATATACAAACGTGCGTGTGTGGTTATATATATATATATATATATATATATATATATATATATATATATATATATATATATATATATGTGCGCGTGTCTGTGTGTGCGTGGACTCATTTATCAAATGAGTATTGAGCTTGAACTCGATTCATTTGAGAAGCGAAATCCAACACTTGTATGAGCCCTATTTTTGGTTCTCAAATCACAAGAAGGTAACCATTCATTACACCTGAAATTCAATCCCAAACAACACATATGAACCTAGTTCTAGTACTACCCGAATCCCTGACCATCATGCAGTTCCTTATATATCTTTTTAGTTAATACAAAAACAACATCATTAATTTTTTTTTATAGAAAAATTAGAAAGAAGGAACTTACACTGGTGGTTTCTTGATGGGGTAGGTCTTCATCATGGAGATTGGGAACAGTTTGTGTTGACTCCATACGGATGCAAAGGGGGCCCTTATCAGACCATGCATTCAAGATCTCCTGGTAATCAAGCTTCAACGACAACCCCTGATGCGTCTTGTTTTTATACCGTAGATCAGCTACACAACTGGTCACTTCCTCCTCCTTCTTCTCTTCACTTGAATCTCTCTCTTTGCTCTTCATGGCCGTCCGTACAAGTGTACCCTCCACACTGTTATACTGTTCTCTGTAGGCGTAGGTTGGCGACAAATCGTTTTCATCTTCAGAAGAAGTCCCGGAGGTGCCAAGAAGAGCGGTGATGGTGTTGGCGCCGCCGTCAGCGGCGGAAATGATGTACGGGACGTTCTCGTCTTGCGTTTCTCTGTCTACCACCAGGTTTTCTGGGTGTAGTGGGAATAGGTTTAGTTTACGTTTATACTGGTCATCGGTGGTGGTGGTTGTGATCATTTTTTCCGGATTGTTGGCTTTTTTCAGGCGAGAGTTCTAGGCGGAGGCTGAGAAACTTGGGTTTCTTTGTCTGCGTTTGACTACTCTGAAGCTAGANGCATTTCGATACAATCTCTCTCTCCATCTCTCTCTCTGCAGAACTACCATATGAGAATGGATACGCCGTCGCTGCAGCTGGACAACCTTAGGGCGATCAAAGTACTCGGCAAGGGAGCCATGGGAACAGTCTTTCTCGTCCACGACCAGTCACGTGACCCATCTGCTCACTCCCCTTTCGCCCTCAAAGTCGTCGAGAAATCTTCTCTCCACACCAAGCTCGACGCCGACCGTCGTGCCCGATGGGAAGTCTCAGTCCTGACCCGCCTGAGAAACTCAAGCCATCCGTTTTTACCCTCACTTCTCGGATCCTTCGAGACTCAAGAGCTACTATGCTGGGCCATACCCTTCTGTCCGGGTGGCGACCTTAACGCCCTCCGGTACCGCCAGTCCGACCACGTGTTCTCGCCGCCTGTGATACGGTTTTACCTAGCCGAAATCGTATGTGCTCTTGAACATCTTCATAGCTTGGGCATTGTGTATAGGGATTTAAAACCCGAAAACATTCTGATTCAACAGTCCGGTCACGTGACTCTGACCGACTTCGACCTCTCTCGTAGCCTCTCACCGAGTTCTGTGAAAACCCTGATGATGTCTTCTTCTTCAGAACCCGAAACAGACCCTCCCCGGAAACATCGCCGGAATATATCTCGTGTTATACCAATGATGGCATCGGAGAAGAGGAAAGGGTTGAAGAAAGCCAAAAGCGCGCGCGTATCCCCGATAAGTCGCCGGAGACAGAGTTTTGCCAACGGTGAACGTTCCAATTCATTTGTGGGAACTGAAGAGTACGTGTCGCCGGAGGTGATTCGTGGTGACGGCCATGAATTCGCCGTCGACTGGTGGGCTTTGGGTGTTCTTTCCTACGAGATGCTATATGGTACCACCCCATTTCGTGGTAAGAATCGGAAGGAAACGTTTTGGAAAGTATTGATGAAGCCACCGGAGTTCATCGGCAAACCATCGCCATTGAAGGACTTGATCGGAAAGTTGCTAGAAAAGGAACCCACGCGCCGGTTGGGGTACAGAAAAGGCGCGTGTGAGATAAAAGAGCATGAGTTCTTTCGTGGATTGAGGTGGGATTTGTTGACGGAGGTGTTACGGCCGCCATTTTTGCCGTCAAGAGATGACAGGGACTTGACGGAAGAGTTAAAGAAGGGTGGGATTGATATAAGAGATTACTTTCAGAAGTTGAAAATGCCGCCGTCACCGTCATGGTCGCCGTCAATGGAGGAGCGTAGACGTAATGCTTCTCTAACGGAGTTCTAACGCAGGTGTAATTACTCTTTTGGGTAAGGCCAATCTCGATTTTAATTTCTCTAGATCTTTTATCATATATTGTGGAGAGATTTATTTATACAAAAAATAGATTTTGTTTAAAATTTTGATGATTACTCTATCATTGAATTTAGAAGAAACTCATTTTCTCAAATAAATCTCCACAAATATACGATCGGATGGATAAGAATTAAAAAAAAAATTTAAAATTAGAGAGCGGCCGAACCCATTTGAGATCTTTGTATATAGAATAACGGTGGGGGTGTGATTAGTCAAGAATAGTTGTTAGCATATACATGTATTTTGCTGGCTTGTAATGTACTTATTTACGTGATTATCAATGGATTTACCAACGCACTTTAGTTGGTGCGTGCCTTCTATGAGTTTTCGTATTTTTTTTTTTTGGAACCTTACGGGTCTGTGTTCGTTCTGGAATGAAAATGCTTGAAATTGAAGCAAAGATGGATTTTGGGAATTTTAAATTTTGTAATTTGTCCCGATTAACGAAAAGTTTGGTGAATTTTGAGAAATAGTTTATTTTATATATATATATGTGTACAAGGAGTAGAGGAAAAGAATTTGCTTTTCTTGTAGCTTTTTACTGAGGAAATGAGGTCGGAATGATACCTACCCAAAAATAAAAGTTTGAATGATGAATATGTATACAATGAAGAAATGAAAGATTAGATGGGGTCAAATCTATGAGTCCTTGAAGGTGAATCTACAGGGAGTTTGGGTAAATTCCAAGGGAAGTTTGAGTGATCTTACTGTTTTAATCAAATACCTCTTTTCTTAGAGAGAGAGAGAGAGAAATTGATGATCATTAGATGCATTCAAATCGCATTTTTTACATAAAATATTCTTAAATTTATTTTAGCAAATGATCATTTATCAGAAATTAAAGTGAAACTAGTTATATATGTGCGGACCCCATCAATACATGGTAGCTTATACTGGAGGGAATCCAGATGTAAAATTGAAGAAAAGCTACTACAACTTGTGACTTGTAATTTTTGTTCTTGAAATCTACTCCAATTGGCCATTTTCATCTTAGCCAGCTCCTCAGAGAGTTGAGGTAGTATATATATATATATATATATATATATACAAGATAGCCAAACCCTCTGGGGTGGGGTTGTTCAACACCCTTTTCTAACTCTTAAGGCAGGTGTCCATGCTTCCTCATCCACGATACAAAGAAATGACCAGCTTGTCTAGTTTATAAAAGAAAAAAAAAACAAGGAAATGATTTTAAAATTAAAACTCATAGATACGTCCACTACTATAGTTTATAGATGGAATTATGGCTGGAGAAAAAGAGCAATCTCAAGGAAAAACATTTTGACAAGGTGTTGTATGTAAATTACATATGCAACTCAACTCAACAACATCACAACCGAATTTCTATTTATCAGTTGTGGTCGAAATAATCCCTCTAAAATTGAATATTCTTCTAAAAAATGATACTTTAATATTAAAAAAATTATTACACTAGGATGATACATATAATGGTCCGAGAACACAATCGTTTTTATTTTTTATTTTTTTGATTGAAATTGTTTAATATTAAAACAATTATTCATAGTTATAAGAAAAATTCGGTAAATCCAGAAATATCTTTAGTGAGTGTATCTTAGTGGGTGGGTGACTAATTTGTTGGTTTCAGTATTGAAAGTAAGTAAAGCATCAATCTTTATGTGTTTTTAATTTGATTAAAAGGTGTGCCATATGAATATGCATGTATGAGTATGATCACTAGACAAAATGTTCTGAAATTACGGGAATGAGTTCAATGTTTTTAGCCTAACTTGTCACTTTACAAAACACTCCTTTTAGACTTCCACTCCCACTCCCACTCCCACTTCCACCCTCGCTGTACAATGAAATGTCTACTTCAATATCTCTGCCCATCAACATCAAACAGAGGCTTAAAATCAACTACAATAAAACAAAAAAAAACCAACAGCAAAGAATGTTGTCTGTGTCCGATATAATTTTTTGGTGCGCTACTTTTATTTATTTATTTTTTTAATAAAAATGTAACAATTTAAAATATTTATTAATGGTCAGATATTTGATCTAAATCAAACACTAGGACCGTGATCAATATTATAGCCATGTCTAGTCGTTAGAGTCTGACCAAAGAAATATAAATGCGGGCTACTCATTTTCCTTCAAAATGAACAAACTGTCAGCAAATAGGATTGACACAGTCGAAGATACTACGATACTTAAATTAATAAAGGCTCTAGCAATAGGTGTATTCAATTACCGGAATTTAGTGTGTACCTTCAGCTGAAGCCCTGGCTTGATATTTATAGCTAGATTAGATGGCTTGTCTAATGTAACAATTGCAAAATTTCCTTCTTTTGGCCTCCATCTCCTCCGGTTTCTTCTTCCGCGTTTACAATGTATCCGTATTCCCATGTTTTTCCTTTGACTCTTTGGGATTGTGCTCCATTTGCCCGAGCATTACACTACTGAGTCATGATGGTTGCTCGGTCTTACGGGTTTAAAGATCGGTGCCTGTATGCTATCAGCTATGTGTTTCTTCGTACTTGTGCAGTTATTTTATGCTCCTTCACCTTTGTTTCTAAATCATGACATTAAACATTCAAAGTAAAGTTTCTTCACTTCATATTTGGATGTCTCAATTTTAGAATGTGTCAATTTGGATCAAATTTACTCACCTATGGTTACGTATAATATCTCCTAGTATTATTTTTTAATGCGACCCATACAAAATTTATGGGTATGATCCAATTAAACTAAGAAAGAATGAGTTAACTTGATCAGATAGTTGTAAGTGATAGATGGGAAAGCACCTGATGTTAATGCACTAGGAAGGATTCTTGCCAAACGTGGTGATGGGATAGCCCAAGACTGTTTTTTGTGAGGACGTAAATGGAAATAATATTAGTTGTGACGGAAGTTGTTGCAAACAAAGGTCTAATTACAACAACATCCCCCTATTGTTGGGATTAATTTTGAGGTACACTTCTTCAGTTTTTAAAAATTACAAAACCATCCAAGCAAAAAAAAAAAAAAAGTTACAAAACTTACTTCTCCTGTTAGATTATTTTGGTCAACACCATTAATGGAGATGATGAATCCTCAAAATTTAACCTTCATGAACGAACTTGAACATTGATATTGTTGTTATCGCAAAGTCCTGAAGCAAACCTCGACTAAAAATATAAAGGGCGTTTGAATAATATTGTTGAGACCTAAAAAATTGACTTAATTTATTGACATAAATGACGTGACAAGTAATATAATTATAATGAATAGGTTCTAGAGTTCCAATTGTAACATAATTTAACGACTTAACGACGTGACAGTGACTAGGTCCAATGATATTGTTATGATTATAATTCTAGAATTTCTTCATTAGATTAACTAATTATATCTAAATAACATAACAAAATAACATTATTCCAATTTTTTTTAACAGCTCTTCACTCTAGCAGAAAAATAGTCTAGATAATAAAAACGTTTAATGATAACATAATTTGTCATCTTTTCATTTCATTAACGATAGAATAGATAGTGCTTTTGAATTAAATGTAGAGAATCAAATTAGAATTTTTATTTTAACTAATTTAAGTAGATAATTTATTGAAGATGAATTAAAATATAAAATTAAGTGAGAAAAGAGAGTTTATTTGAGATGCTTTCACATCCAAAAAAAAAAATTCAGAAACAAAGTGTTTAGTTCCATAAGGCCATAAAACAAAAGTTTACGTCCTTTTGGGATTCTTCTACTTACCTTTTACGGCAAAGTGGCTGAAAATATCCAACTTTCTGACAGAGTCGTCCCTACGTTTGCCCAATTTGCGGGGTAAGTACTTATGCCTCTCTCTCTCTCTCTCTCTCTCTTGCTTGCACGGTAAGTACTTATTAAACCAAGGCCATTAATTTGTAGTTGCGTTAAATCCGTTTCGAAAGTTGTCACGTTACGGAACAAGGGTTGGGGGAGAAAGCATCGTGGTTTAAGCTTCGGCTTTTCCGAAAAGAAAAAAAAAATGTACCTATACCATTTTACAAAGCAAATGCCCAATGGAACCATCACACTCAATGTATTCACCAGAATTTTGTTGACTGAACATATAAATGGTCAAGAAGAGGCCCCGGGGCTGTGGCTTTTTGAATAATAAAAAGATTCACTCTCTTTTAACCAGTTCTTCTTCTTTGTAAACCCTACTAAGGACCCATTGTTGTCATTTTGTCTGTTTGTCTAAATCCGACTTTAGACTTATCCTTTTGCTAATTTTTTCATTATGCTGGTTTAACTACTGGGCATGTTTGAAACTCTTATACGGTCAATCCACCTTCAATTGATGCTGCCAGACGAGCCTCTCTTTCATTTTTGTGACTGATTGCCTTTGTTCAGTGATAAACAAAGAGAAGTCATTATGTGCTCGATGCTTGGTCTCCGCTTGAAGTAACCCAAAACTCGGAATTGGTTCCCCCAAAAGACAAAAAGGGGGACTGATTTATTCCATTGGCAGCCCAAATTTAGGCCACTCCGTTGGATACTTCTCTTGTGACTTTTTTCGGGTCCAATATGTACTAGAGACTAAACGTCCCCTTTGTCTCATACCTCTAGATCTTTGGCTTGAAGCATGTTATTATTGGAGCTCTCTAGCTCTCAATAGCAAACAATCTTGGTTGTCCCATTGGTCTCTTGCATTCCTTTCTTAACTACTTTACCATCTCTCGTTCCCTCCCTATTTGTCTCGGGTTTCCTAGTGAGTATAAGGGAAAAAATAACAAAGAAAAGTACCGTCTGTGGGTCAATACCATTCACTTTTGATGTCATTAACTCTGGAATTGTTCAACAGTCTGCCTGCAGAAGAGAAGAGAGTGCCTTAATATTACGAGTCATTTGGTGTCAATTAAATTGTGCCGTGCTTTGGCCATGGATCTTTGTTTGATTTATTTGTAGTCATTGATCAACAATAAGATAAAATTATAAAATAATACAACTT